AAGACAGTCTCCATGTAAGTTTAAAAAGTCTTTACCAACCTGTAATGAAGTTTAGCAGGACTGTTACTTCTGTTGAAAAAGCCTGATTATTATTATGATCCGTTTTCAGAGCGATTGCACTTTGCACGTAACTGTTTGCAACAGTTGTTCTATCATGTGCCTATCACGTCCTGTCTGTGAGGCGTGTTAGTGATAGCATGAAGTTCCCAGTAGCTCAGGGTCAGAAGTCTCTTGCATTCTGATTAATGAATGACATGATTTCAGTATAAGGGATAAACATTCAAAACAGAGGGCCATTTAAAACACAAGCTAGTGAAAACACAATTAGCCAAAGCTGAGAGATTGCCATAATAAAGGGTGTACTACATTATTGTATAGTAAATTTAGCTAAAGTATAATTTATTCAATTGTAGTGTACTGTATTCCTGCCCTTGAGTACAGCTGAAAACAAAAAAACAAAAGAGGGATTTTGGAGCAGCAACCCCAAGTTGACTTTCCTCTCTTGTGCACTGGTCACACTTTCCACCACGGATACAAAAGCCTCTCACACTGGGGTGAGACAGAAGCCAAGACATATTGGCACCAGAAAGACTTTCACATTTCACAATTAAACACACACACACACATACATATATCCAGAACTGTTGCTAAAAATTTACAAGTCTTCACTCCCTTTAACTCTGCAAGCTGGGACAAGTTTGGAGCAGAGCAAGAAACAACAAACAGCACAAAGTTTTACTGACCTGCCTCGGTAGACGTAATTCCCACATGATAAATCAGCTGTTTGACTCCCACAATGAAAGACTAACTCATAGTTTTACAGCGTTAAAAGTCTCTCTCCCTTTCTGCAACTCCAAACAGACTAAACAAGAGGGCAGTGGAAAGATCAGACATAGGCCAATGTGTTTGAAGGGGGTGGGGCCTTTCCTGGGTTCTGAAGTGTCAGTCACAGTCGCTCAGCCAATCAAGTGCTGCAAGTCACAACCTGCTCCTCCTATACTCAGCTGTAATATGAATTTAGATTGACTGATATCTCCCCATGGGATAGAAGCAGCACAAGTTAGATGTCTGGAATGGGTCAGTTGTTTCTCCCAGATATCAATGAGATTAAACAAAGACCAAATGGAGATTTTTGTTTAAATATCTTGCTTAGATTTGTCTTCTGATAATATACAGTAATCTATATGTCTCTTCTAGAGTTCCAGAAGAGATCTCAACATCTGCACTGTGCTCAGGCTTGCCAAAACACAAATTCAAACAGTCTGGAAAATGGATGGATATATTTATACACACACACACACACACTTCCATTCAACATTTCGAGGTCTGTAAGATTTTTTAAATGTTTTTTAAAATCAAAATACAGTTACAATAATATTACAATTTAAAATAACTGTTATCTGTTTTTATATATTTTTATATATTTATTCCTGTGATGTCAAAGCTACATTTTTAGCATCTATTACTCCAGTCCAGATCCTTCATAAATCATTCTAATATGCTGATTTGACGCTCAAAAAATATTTATTTTTATTATTAATTCATGTTGAAAACAGTTGTGCTGCTTAATAATTTTGTGGAAACCATGGAACATTTTTTTCCAGAATTCTTTGATGAATAGAAAGTTCAAAACAACATTTTTTTTTAAATAGAAATCTTTTGTAACATTATAAATTTCTTTACATTTTTCCTGTCACTTGATCAGTTTAAAAGTATTCATTTTTTATTTATAATACAGATCATTATATAAGGTGGAAATGTCAAACCAACTTATCTCCAAGCTGCTCAGCAGTCAGGGCCATAGTTTACCCTTGGAGCAGTTTATTCTGCTCTTCAAACAAACTGCAAGCACTTTCCTGAAGCCCTTCCTCTCCAAAAATCCATCTATTTTCCATGGTGAGGAGAGTTCCATTCCACTGTGTCTAAATGGATTAATCACTGAAGAACAAGAGCAAGATGCCACACTAAAGGACATCCCAGCGTATCTGATGCTTTGTGGCCAACAACAAAGACAGAGGAGAAGATAGACCTCTGAGCACTATAAATCATTTATATTTTCAATTTTCCGCCTTGTCTGACGTGGGACCTCTGGTCTATGGAGTCTGTAATAATTACCATGGCAGGGTGTACCAGAGCAGCCATATCTTTGCTCAAATAGGCAGGCACTGCCATTTATCACAGCCGCGAGCAAACATCTCTGTCTCGCTCTCAAACACAAAACAATATCAGCTCAACCGCAGACCCTCAAGTGCATGAGGATAAGTAAGGTAAGAAATAAAAAGAGAGACAGTGCAATGTAAGAACAGAGATTAAGGGAAAAGTGACAGAGGTAAATAGCATTTAATGGAAGCTAGTTTATTACTGTCAGATCAAAGCATCTAACCACACAGCACTAACTCTAGACCTATTTGACAACACGATGATAACTTAGGGTTGACATTACAAGGAGGCTAGATAGATGGATGGATGGATGGATGGATAGATAGATCATTAAAATATAGTTTTTAAAATATTTTATAAACTACAAACTGTAATTTTGATATAGTAATATATGACATGGTATTACCTGCAAATACATATTTTTACTGAACCTTGAAGGGTCAGAACAGTATTACATACAGTGCTTTTGCCCTCTAGTGGACAGTATTATAAAAACTATTTCTCTGTCCTTTTGAAACTTCATTCCATGCTATGCTAACCACATTTATGTGTATGGATACAAGCAAGCATGTATCTAAAAGACAGGATGTTTGCCTTCTCAGTCATTTAAGCGCCTCAAATCCCTTCTAAAGGGCAACAGATGAAACTAGCAAAAATAGCTTGTTGACTGGATCTACACTTCCTCTCAAGCCTCTCATTGTTCTATGCTATAAAGATTGTGATTACTTGATCACTGGGTGCAATATTACTGCAAATGACACAGCTGTTGATATGTACTGACATTGGGGAAGAAAACAAATATAATGGAGACTGAAACACCACACCTTAAAGTAACAACAACACTGGTTTAAATCACATGTAAAAACACCCAGTTACACCTTACATACACAAATACTCAAACTGTAACAATGAATACTTTGCTTGCATCTTTCATTAGAAACAAGAGAGGGTAGTAAATGCTGAGTTACTCAGACACTAAAAAGAAAGAAAGAAAGAAAGAAAGAAAGAAAGAAATTACCTCTGCTATCCAGCCAATAGTTAAAAGAGTTGTTGCAGACTCAGGTTAGTTCTTCTACACACTGATGCTGGCAGTTTACTGAAGGCTTAAAATCAGCTCAATAGCACCAGCTCAGTCCTTCCCAAACTGGTTAATGATCTCTGCCTTAATTCCCTTCCCCACAATATTCATTTGCCCCATTTGCATGAGATGCATTTCTGCTTTGAATTTGTCAAAGTTTAATTTATATTTTCAATTTTCCGCCTTGTCTGACGTGGGACCTCTGGTCTATGGAGTCTGTAATAATTACCATGGCAGGGTGTACCAGAGCAGCCATATCTTTGCTCAAATAGGCAGATTAAATATTTTAAAGATACTAAGTCCTACAAATACATATAAAGAAATTAAAGACATGAAGTCATACAAATCTTGTTCAAAGATTCAAAATTAACGAAATACTTGTATTTACTACAATATAACTTTTTATTAAATATATATAAACGAGCTTAATAACATTAATTAGTTTGACGGAAACGTTACCTACAGATGGCAACTGCTTGAATAGAAATTACTAGACTATATCGTTTAGGGCTAACGCTACACAGATTCACGGAAAGCAAAGAGACATTGCACCAATCAGCTGTGAGAAAAGTGACATACTTCTGACGTAAAACGTCACGCCCCCTGTTTCTCTCTCTGTCTGTCTCTCTCTCTCTCTCTCTCTCTCTCTCTCTCCAATTTAAAGCGCACTTCACGTCTTTTTAATTTTTATGATAACCTCGATAACCCCTTATCCCAGAGATATATATTTTAGTCAGATTGATGTTTTGGTCTGCCGTCTATTAGAAATGTTTTTTTTACAATAATGTGTTAGACTGCATTCTATCCTGTCACCCCACGATGGCAGTGTTCAACAAGTATCCATCTTCATTACGTTCCCTACTTTTGTCTTTTAAATGACGTTTTCCTACCTCTTACGACACGCTCTACCCACATGTCGCATCCACTTGCTCAATGATGAATCAAAGGCATCATTAATGAGAGAGTCAGCATTCGCAGCTGACAGGCATCGCGCATTACTCCGCGAGGTGATTTCATCTCTCACCTTGTACACTTATCTTTCTTCCTAGACCAAAGATGCCTTAAATAACTTCAAGGCTAACGATTTCCTGTCCAATGTGGAGTTTTCCTATCAGCTGGAACCATTTTTAGATGTGGAACGGATGGGTATGGAGGATGTGTCATGAGAACATTTATTTGACAACTACAAATCTGTAGAGTACAACAGGTGCGAAATACTGAATGACCTTCAGAGGAGTCGACTTTTTAAGGGAATTACTGTCGGCAATTCTCTGTCAAAGTTAGCCGTCAAGTATCATAAAGACTTAAAACAATAACATTTGTGTGAGTATATTTGTTATATGTAACCCTAGATTAAACAATGACAGTATGGAGAGAGCGGAGTAGTGTTGCCATGGTTACTTTCACAGGCGGACGAGACTTCTGTTAGCGAACTTTTATTTCGCGCGCTAATGTGTCTTTTGTGGTTTCTGAAAAGTTGTTAGAAAACGCTTTTGAAACATATAGTGTGTATATATAAAAGAACATAGGCCTACTTTGAAGATATATTATCATTTTGACGACTTTTAGGGGGCTTCAAGCCGTATTAGGAAGGTCAGACCCTCCAAAACTACCACAATTCGCATCCTGCGGTACAGGCTGTATACGTTAAATTATAAATGTTGGGCAGCCCTGCGCGCAGCACGATGGGGAGTCGGTGGGGAGACTGTCCTCCCCGAGCTCTCTCTCACAGGAGAATCTAGACGCTCCATGATCTCTCAGCATGCCTACCTGGACGAACCGGTCCAACTGTTCCTTCAACTGCAGTTGGGATGATAACGCGACATACTGGGGATTCGAGCACCCGGTCAACATTTTCCCCATTCCAGTGCTAACCGGGGTCACCGTCACCTGCGTGCTCTTCTTCTTTGTAGGTGTAACGGGGAATCTCATGACCATTTTGGTGGTGACAAAATACAAAGACATGCGAACCACCACTAACTTGTACCTGTCCAGCATGGCCTTTTCGGATTTACTCATTTTTCTCTGCATGCCTTTGGACTTGTACAGAATCTGGAGGTACCGACCTTGGAATTTCGGCAACATACTTTGTAAACTCTTTCAGTTTGTGAGCGAGTGTTGCACGTACTCGACCATTCTGAACATCACTGCTCTCAGTGTGGAGAGATACTTTGCTATTTGTTTTCCTCTTAGGGCAAAGGTAGTCGTAACCAAGGGTCGCGTGCGCGGGGTCATTTTGGTCCTCTGGATAGTATCCTTCTTTAGTGCAGGACCTGTATTTGTGCTCGTCGGGGTTGAGCATGAAAATGGGACAAACTCGTGGGATACTAACGAATGCAAAGCGACGGAATATGCCATTAGGTCTGGGCTCTTAACCATTATGGTTTGGGTCTCCAGCATCTTTTTCTTCTTGCCTGTGTTCTGCTTAACTGTTCTGTATGGTCTCATCGGGCGAAAGCTCTGGAAGAGAAAGAGGGAGACGATTGGGGAAAACGCTTCGAGTCGTGATAAAAACAATAGACAGACAGTGAAAATGCTGGGTAAGTGCCCGGTTTCACCACAGTATCAGGTAACCGCGATTAAGTTGTTTATCATTTGCGCACTTTACGCACAAGCGCACCCATTACGCACGGGATGCGCTTGGCACAAAACAGCAGTACAGTCCTGCATACACTAAAATTGTTTTGGTAGGGAAGCTAAAAAAGTACCTTATGTGGTAACAACTAAATTAAATTATTTTATTAAAGTAAAAATGGGTTATTTAAAACGTTATTTTTAATATCATTTAACATAAGAATTGAAACTTTCTACTGGATCTCTTTAAGTTGATCTTACGATCATCTCTCAAATATGCATACGTGTGATTCATAACATGAGCGTACGTACAGAAAACGCACGCACGCGTCTCTTTCAGATGTGAAATCTATGAATCACTAATGATCTTGAACTTGCGGGCAAATGAATGGTTTCAGCTCTCTGCTTGTAAAAGACTCCTAACTAATGTCATTAACATGTAAAAGATCACCAGTCATCATCCAAATTCTTTAATTTAGAACAGCGAGCTGTAAGAACAGCTTACATTTCCAAAAACCTGCAGTACTCGAACAAGAAAAAGTGCGTACGTCTGCTCAGACCCTGAAGTGACGCTAAGCACTTTTCCACGCCAAAGACAGTTTTTACAAATATAAGCGTTGGCGTGGATTTAAGCGTACGCACATTCTAAGATCAAATCTGAGCGTACGCACGCTTTATAAATGAGGCCCCAGGTCATGACACTACAGTGTGTTTATTGGAAGGAGAATAGAATACTGATATATCCAGTTTTCGTGAAGTAGTTCTTTATTGTACAAAATCAAGGGAGCAGGTGTGAATAATTATAATTGTACTTTAAGAACAAACTAAGATAAATGATAAAAAAGGACACTTGTCCTTTTGTGTTCTGAAAGGGTGATGTTTTTATTATTATTATTAATGAAAATGTACATAATTTTAATAAGGGAGAGTTGTAACAGTTGACACAAAACTTCTTTATAAAATGTCCACTAAAATCTACAAAAATACATATTTTTATTACTTAAACATTCTTTAAAATAAAATTCACTTTAAATTTACAAAATTGAATGTTAAGAAAATGCTTATAATCACAGGGGAAAAATGTGAGCTTTCTGTTCACACGCGTGTTAAAGAGTCTCTTTTGATGTTTCTTAATGTGGTATTTGTGCATGACTAATAATGTTTTTTTCTTGCTAATAAAATTTGCTTTCTGCAACAAGGTGAGGAAACGACTATTTCACCATTCAGTTACTTTCATTCCCTCTCTCTAACAGCTGTGGTGGTGTTTGCCTTCGTGCTCTGCTGGCTTCCCTTTCATGTTGGACGTTACCTGATCTCCAAATCCACAGAGATGGGCTCTCCTGTCATGTCCATCATCAGCCAGTACTGTAATCTCATCTCCTTTATACTCTTTTACCTGAGTGCAGCAATCAACCCTATTCTGTACAACATCATGTCCAAGAAGTACAGGATGGCAGCTTGCAAACTTTTCGCACTGCGTCATACCCCACGAAGAAGCACATCAGTGGTCAAAGGAGAGAGTTCCCCGTGCTGGACGGAATCCACTGCCAGCCTGTGACTGTGAAAGACTGTCTTTACCATTAACAGCCATTTCAGACCTCATCTACTGCTGCCATGGTGTTGTAAGATGATAGTTCCCTAATTAGACTAAACATCCACATCCATATCTCATACATTTTCTGACAGATCAGGGAGTCGTTTGGAAAGATTCAGTTCTTTAACAGCCATTCGTCCATCCAAGCTCAACATTTCATTAGATGCCTTGATGTTTTATAAAAATTAGCTTGTAAATAAAGAGATAAAAAGGGAGAGGACTTGAGTTGCCTTAAATCCAAATGAAATCTGGAAGACAAATTTATCACTGTAGATACAGCAACCTTTTGCACCCGACGACAGGGATTGCAGAGGTGATGCCGTTCATTTGCATTGTGCCTGAATGCTTGTCATGCTCTCTTAGCAAGTGTTGTCACTTTCTTTGTGTGTGTTTATAAGGCTCTGCTCCAGACCTGAAGCAATACACAGAATTCAAAACTTTTGAGGAAAGTTAATTAAAAACAAAGAAACATAAAAGTCAAAATTGCATTAGTGCATTTAAGTAAAAGCTTGCTTTTTTTTTGTTCTCAGTGTTTCATGTGCTAAATGTATAAACTATTGGTACTGAATTACCCAGTTATACAGAAGAGTTTAATTTAAAACCACTGCAATAAATGTTGTGACAGTATATTTGTACATTAACAAGTCCTCTTACATCCAGTAGTATCTGTTGTAGAAACTGCATGTGTCTTGTGTTCTAAATGATGTACAGTATAGAAACTTTAATATTTGCATATTGTAAACTATGTAAATATACCCATGTTCCATTGGATATCTGTTGTGTTGGAGGTTTTCTTTTGTGAATGTTGGTTTTGATGGTACGCTAAAACAATTAGTGTAGAAATCTTACCTCAAAAATTGCTAGTAAATTTCACAATTACAAAGAAACTTCAAGTAACAGTGAATTAAATGTGAAGCAGTAAAATAGTACTAAAATAGTATTTTCTTGTAAAACACTCCAGTAATCTTTTATTTACAACTCTGAAAATCATTTTAGTTTAAGAATAAGAATAATGACAATATGAAATATTTATATATATATATATACAGGTGCATCTCAAATTAGAATGTCCACAAACTGATCACCTCCATGCCACGCCGAATTGAGGCAGTAATTAAAGCAAAAGGAGCCCCTACCAAGTATTGAGTACATGTACAGTAAATGAACATACTTTCCAGAAGGCCAACAATTCACTAAAAATGTTTTTTTTTATTGGTCTTATGAAGTATTCTAATTTGTTGAGATAGTGAATTGGTGGGTTTTTGTTAAATGTGAGCCAAAATCATCACAATTAAAAGAACCAAAGACTTAAACTACTTCAGTCTGTGTGCATTGAATTTATTTAATACACGAGTTTCACAATTTGAGTTGAATTACTGAAATAAATGAACTTTTCCACGACATTCTAATTTATTGAGATGCACCTGTATATATATATATATTTCTTCTATTTATATATGGTTGTCTTGTAAGACTAAAATCTATCCATATTATTAAAAAAATGTATGTATATATACTGTGTATATATAGTTCTTATCTATTTCTTCTATTTTTTTATGGTTGTCCTGTAAGACTGAAATCTATCCATATTACCAACAGATGGACAGACAGCTGGAATAATAATTAAATCTAGGACTATGTGGTCATTTACAGAAACTATAATGGGCTTTAAATAATAAGTGAAAAGTAATGTGATGTTCATTTGAGATGCTCCCATTCTTCATCAGGATCAGTGGAGTTTCGGTTTCATCAAATCTTGTTACAAATCCAGCTTTCTTCTGCCCTGTGTCCATGTGTAAAGTCTGACTGTTGCTGTTTTATTGATGTCAAACGAAGGTCAGGGCCTCCAGACTGGAGAGAAAGAGAATTAAAGAGGAGAACAGTTTCATAACTCAGTCAGATCTCCTTACGAGGCAGAAGGCGATGCTGCAAAATGAGATTGTCCATTCACACTTGCCACTCCTGCCTTCCCTCACCATAAAATATATAAAAAAGAAAACACCACAGCCCTGATGGAGTGATGGACAAACGGTTTTTAAGGATCGACTTCAATTAAAAGACTCTTGCATTAAAAGTACAGGCTAATAAAAGTCAGATTTTAATCAGTGATTGCAGTCAATTTCCACAAACATAACTCGCTTGGTAAGACAGTCACAGACTGACATCAGTTGCACATACAAAACAGTCTTTTCTTTTCACTGTCTATTTGTCAGCTGCAACTGCTTTGGCAACACAAATGTAGCATTACTGGTCATGCCATAAAAATAAGCGCTCTGCTTTTCAGGCAATCTGATATTCAGTATTTATGATTTATTATTCATTATAAAGCTATTAATCATTCCACTTTACACTGGCTTGTTAGCCTTTCTGTATGAATGAGTATCTGCTTTAACAGGTTCATATGAAGCACTTTTGCTGGTGGATGAAATTGGAATAGCAGCTTCGATGAACAACATCTTTCTACGTCAGACACCTCAGCACTATTGTAGGACAGCCTTTCAATAATTCCTACTTGGTGGGTTTTTGAGAATAAGGACATAATCTGAAATTAGCTATGTAAAATATTGTGCTAGATGATCAGTATTTGTACTCACTGCAAGGGCTTTCATATTCATCATGGCATGCAACAGACAAGAACCAGTGAGTGACTTCAATCATAAGCTATAACTTATTTATGAAAGATTTGTATCACCAGTACAAAATACAATCTGTCAGAAAAAATTAAAACATTTATTGGGTATAAATATATTACATACACGCTACAGATACAGTTAAGTCTTACCATACATAGGGTAGTATTTGCAAAAATCTATACATTAACATTGATATGGCAGTTTCTTTTATATATAGGCATATGAAATTGTCTAACATTTACAATACGAGAAAAAAATTATGACTTTAAAAATGGTAGATCATGACAAGCCTGGAATGTTTTGTATATATATATATATATATTTTTTTTTTTTAAACAGTGAGGTAAAAATACACTTTTTTGGGAAATAGTTGAATACACTTATGATTCTATACATTTCTCTGGGATGACTGAGAGCTGATCGATTTCCAAACATCATGTTCAAATTCATTTTCATATTTAAAACAGAGCACAAAAAAAAACCAGAAAAAAAAAAATAAATACAATATAAAAATACAAAATTGTACTTGGGCCACAAAAAAGTTGTGTTCTTTTGAAATTTTACAAGGACCAATATGGAAACAAACAAAAAATACTTAAAGAAAACAAATAAAAAGCGGATTGCCGGTTAGGACTAAACACTACTTATACAATGGGCAAAAAAATAAAATAATAATAATAATTCACTAACATTAAAAGGACGCCAATGGACTTCCAGACTTTTCACTAAACATGTGTGGGCCAGTTTTACAGACATTTCTAACTGCATGATACTCTCGTTTTGAAAACAATAGCAACAATGACTAGGAAATACAGTTTTATCAAGATAAATCTAATAAAGATTAATATTTTGCTTTAAAAAGTGCTTCGTTTCTGTTAGTTGTCATACTATATATCTATATATCTCTATATATAATTCCTTAGCAAAAATACTGGAATAAATTCCCTATTGCGCTATGATGTGTCTGGAAAATAAAAAGAAAACGAGAAATGTCACTTGCCTTAAAAACAGTTTTGTTTTGCTTTCCATTCGGTGTGAACCGGCATGCAAGATTTCACCTCAGAAAGATTACTCAAATAAAGGGCACAATTTTCACTACTAAAAAAAGTGTCGTCACAGATGAAGTTTAACTTAAACGTATGTTGTTCCTTTTCAAGAAATGATGTTCTAGTGTCACAAAGGATTTCTCAAGTAACCCTTTAAATAACAACAAACAGCAACATAATAGTGGACAAGCCTCCCCTTTGGCAAACAGTAAGATAACATAAGCGTCATAACACTCTTTTTAGCAATGCCAAATGTAGCTACGTACTGTATGTCCCATTACACGCACACAAATAAAAAATAAAACAGATTAAACATTTGCTACAGTTCTCTATGAAAAGACAACTAGCTGGAGTTCTGATAGGAGATGAGCAGGCATTTGGTTATATAGAAATGTTTCAGCATGGTACATGCTACATGTTCCCAATTAATGAAAGACATAAACATAACCAGAATTATGAATGAAAGGAATGCTGGCCTTAATCGTTAATCTACAATACATAAAAAACATGCTATGAGAAAGAGAGAGAGAGAGAGAGAGAGAGAGATAATAGTAAATAACTACATCTCTTAATTTCTTGAAAAATAAATAAAAGATTGCACTTTAATTGCCATTTAAAGTACTGTATGCAATAGATAGTATAAATAACCCTAAAGAATGATACCTTACTTTCCCATTAACTTTGGCAAAGGTATTCTGAGCTAGTAAACTATTTTGCTTACGAACAACTGGAGCAAGGCACAGCTTAGGTGAGAAAACAGATCAAATAAATGCATTTAAAACTGCAGAGGCAGATACAACGGAATCATTCGGCAACGTGTTAGTGTTTTCGCAGCACCCTCTCAGAAACATAGTATCTACTTCTTCACCTCTGAAAAGTCCATGTCCCTGAGGTACAATACAGGCTGTCAGTAAAGGGGAAGAAACCCTTCCCCATGTAGTTCTCCTTTTTAGACACCCCCTAACTTTTCTGCAAGTGTAAGGTGGGAGAAACTCTTTGGATCGATGGGAACTGCTGGTTTGTACCTTTTACTTGGCTAAAGATGCACTGCAAGCACATCAGGCTGTTTTGGCATGGTGCAGCGGGTGGAGGAATCCACTGCTGCTTTTGACAATAACCTTGATAAAGCACCTTAGAAATGTCCAACTGGCTTTCACGGGTTCAAAGATGATGAAACATTCAACGCGTTGACACGTAAGGGCCGCAGACAGAACACGACGGGCGAAGTCCCGAGGACCAACGCCATTCACAGAGTGACGAAACCGGCTATTTCGGTTTCACAGCTACGCACTGGCTATTGTGACTCCAGCCATCAGCTGGTCCCTGGATCTACAGACACCACACAGAGCCCAAAGTCAGTCTGAGAGGGCGACGTTAGTCAAGCCAAAGTCATTCGGGGGGCAGGAAGGCGAGGAAGTAGCCCTGTGTCACTGCACCTCAGGACTAG